AGATTTAATATTATTAATAAGCTTTTTAATTTATTTTATAAAATATGATGTATCAGAAGTGATGATACAGCCTATATATATAAAAAGAAAATAGAAAATGTAAAGCACTTAGTAATTAATAAGACTGATATGTAACATAGAAGAGCAAGAAGTAGAGATAACCCTTAAAGAAATAGAAAATCTACAAGACATTTATAAAAAGAAAGAAGAAATTTTTGCCATGATAGGAAAGGGAAGCCTAGCTGAAAAGCTTTACCAAAGAGAAAGATAGATATAAGATCTAATTACAAAAGAAGATTTTGATAAAATACAGCCAAGCTTCACATTTAATAAACAAATAAAAGACTTCATAGTAAAGCTCTGGAAAAGGTAGATAAAAAAGATCTATAAAGAAATATAGATCGAAAGATGCAAATTAGTACAAGAGTGGGAAAAGAAAATAGTATAATATAAGAAGAAAAGTGAAAATATAGCACAGATACCAAAAGGAAACAAAAGAAAAAGAAGAGAAAAAAAAAGCAAATGAAAAAACAATTTCAATAGACAAGATCTACAAAAAAGAAAGTAGAAAAAAAGAAACTGAAGTAAGATAGAAAATAGTTTTAAATATAACTAAAATGAAGTTTTAAGTTGGATAAAAAATGAACAAAGAGCTAAATGGTAGAGAATTAATTAGTAGTCTTGACAGGCCATAAAAACTATCTGAGAAAGTATTAATAAACTTATTTGCAGGGTGAATTAGTATGAAAGTAAATCTTACTATAGTAGATTATACATAGGTATTCTTTAAACAACTGGGTGAGCTATTACTTGTAACTTAGATATTAGAGGGAATAGTCTTCTGAAAAGTTAATATTTCAAAATATAATATTATTAAACCTAATAAAGTAAAGACAAGACTGCCGAAGTTAAAAAAAAAATAGGTTTAATATATTACTTCTACTAATTATATTTTAACTATTTAATTTAGATAAGCTTTAACTACTCTAATAAGTTTAAATTACAAATAAATAATTAATTTAAGCTAAAAATTTATATGTTAAAGCAAAATTTTATAATAGAGATATATAGATGTTGTATTTGTTATCTAATTTTTATTAATTATATATAAACTATAATAGTGCTTTAGAGTTTTTTGTTTTCTTTTTATATTTTTCCTTTTCAAAATCTGTATTTTTTTTTGTTTTTTTTGTTTTTATAAATTTTATTTTTAAAATTTTTCTTTTTTGTTTTATATTTTTTAAAAAAAAGAAAAATTAAAAGAAAAAAAAAAATTTTAATATAATTTACAACAACCTGTTAATAATCAAAAGGTATATCTCTAGGTAATACAAAATCTTCAGCAAGTTAATAATTTTAAAAACTATGAATAGCAGATCATATTAAGCAATTAGCTTGATGAGTTTTTATTAGAATAAAACAACATATTATAAAAAATTTGTATAATCATTACATAATAATCAAATAAAATTTTAGTGTAGTGGTCTAGTCATTACCCTCTTTAAGCAGCAGGTCTAGAGTTCAAATCCCACTGCCAACAATTTTGAAAAATAGGCCTGCGTATGGTTAATGGCTTTCTACCAGTTGGATCTAGATTAATTTGTAATCTTAGTTACACCATCTAGTAATAGAAGCTTTGGTGCAATAAATCCAGGAGACCAGAATAACTAAAAACCTGTTTGGCAAGTTTTGAGTTTGGAGATAGTAGCAATCTATGATAATACTACAGGAGGGCTGAATTCAAACTGGGGCCTGAGATCGGAAAACCGAGCGACCAGGTCCTAATGGCAGAGAACATACTAGCCAAACCACTAAGTTGTCATATCAGAAGAAAAGAACATATGTTTCGAAAGTATGAACCAAGGGGGAGCGTCCTTCAGACACCTAAAGCCTAGACAAACCGACCCTTCCGAATTGCCAGCTAGAAGTAAGGAAGAGACTGATAAAGAATCTAGGTAAGAAAATAGTCTAAATGTGAAATACTGAGGTTGCTAGGAACCAAAACAAGGGCAAGAAGTATGTAATGGGCACCTAGTTAGAAAGGTTGGCGCTTAAAAACATCTGTAGAATAGCAGCACCCCAAAAGGTAGTGTGAGATACAAATATGGAATGGCAGGTCAATATGTACTAATTAGACAAGCATGTAAATACATGTGTAAAACATGTACCGCTATGTTAGATTTATCTCAAGGATAGTTAAGTGTTCTAAGGTAGGGTGCGAAATCTAAATTGGTGATACCAAAATCTAGTGTATGAATAGTAAGGAAACCTATTGAATTAGAAGGCAGATAGAGGTAGTTAGAACCAGATAGTTTAAATGAGTACCTTTCTTGTTGGGGTGCAGATATAGCAGATAGTATAGAACTTTTGAGTGGACTACTTAAATTAGACACTCAAAAGGTGCATGTGTGGCTTGATGTACCATTGTTGTAATTATATATAAAACTCTGTCTATATTCTAATAAAAAACTTCCCAGGCCAAAGAGGTCACCTTAATACCAAAAATAATAATAATAATAATAATAATAATAATTCAAATAAAATAAAAGCAGAATTGTTTAAAAAAAAAAGGCTTAAACACTAATTTTTTTGTATTTGTTTTAATATCTAGTTATTTAATTTGAATACTATAATTTTTTAAATTAATTTTTATATATAAAAATAAACAAACTGTTATAATTATTATAAAATTATTGACTATTTTACTAAACTTTAAAATATTTAAAAAAAGTATTTTTTTAATTTTTAACAAATTAGATCAAATTATAACTTAAATTTTTTTTTTTAAAATTTGACAATCCGCCTTTATTGCGTTAGGAGTGCGTAATCAAAATACATAGTTTCCGAACAAAAAGCCTGCAATAAACTCAATGTCTTCCACCCTCCTACTCTTCAATAAAGACTATAACTTAAATTAGAGATATCCAAAATTTTTATTTACTATTTTTATTCCATTAATATATATTCACATGATCAATACTCTCTTCAATATCCCCTTCTATAGTATCCCCTCTTTACACAATACCCCGGGCGTTATTTAACTTGAATTTCTTGTAAAAAACCGGGGTAGCGTGTACATTATAGCTAGCCCAATCAGTTTTAATCAAATGATATTACATGATTTTGTCAAATCTAACAACCTTTCAAAGTAAAAATTGTTTATTAGTGTAAAAGCAATTAAATAACGATTAAAATTGTAATATACAATCCCTTAAAATCATTAAAATTAAGAAACTGTTATGTCCGGAGCAATTAATTGTTCCCTCAGAGTGTCCTCCATCTTGCTCCGACAATTTTTTTTTTTTTATTATATATAATAACTAACAACCACAAAGAATGACATTAATCAATAAGTCTAGATGTAGCTGAAAAAATTAGTAAAATTTCTAAAACAAAGCTAGCAAATATTTTCTAATTAATATATTAATTATAGCTCAGGATTAACATTAACCTGGTGCAGCGCCAGCCGGTTGGGCAGGGTTCCATCGTAATTGTCGAATATAAACTAACCATCCTACCATAATACACATCAATAATATCGTTAAACTTTCAAACCAAGCTTCTCTTTCATCAGCATCGTCAAAAATATCCGGATAAAGAGAACTTAAATAATCGTCTGACTTCTTTTGCTCATCATCTTTTGCCATTGTCTGAATCTGTTCTACAGACCCACCTGTTTCATCATCTTCGATGAAAGATGGATCTTTCCACCATAGTCCTTTAGATGATTCTTCCTCACTTCTAGCTGTATCAGAGCCAGTAATATAATTCCAAAAACTTCTTGAATACAACCTAACTAATGATAGCGTGACGGGAAGATACGCATCAGGATTAGTCGATAAAGACTGGTCATACCATCTTTTTGCAAGATGAAAGTCCTATAAAAAAAAAATTTTTTTGTATTATTACAATCTTGGTTTTATGAAACTAGCAAAGAATAACAATAAATAATTGGGTAACTAACTTGAGCAATCCCTATGCCATATTCATGCATCCACCCAAGATTCCACATTGCCATAGCACTGAAATCCGCCTCCGCGGCGACCTGATAACAAGCTGCTGCTTTTTCATAATCTACTTCGGTACCAAATCCCTTAAAATAATAGTCACCCATCTTTACTCGTGCATCAACATTTCCTTGATTTGCAGATCGAGTCCAATAAAGAAGTGCCAGTCTATCACGCGATGGATCCGGTTTCGGAACCAAATGTGGTAAATGCCACCATGATTTATCTTAATTTTAAATAAATGGTAAGCGAGGAAAAAATTTATAAGTGCAAAAAAAAACTATAATATACCTTTGTCTAATAACCAAGCGACATTTGCTTGTCCGACTTCATATCCCCTCTCTGCCGCTATTAAATAATTAATTAACGCATCCTCACGATTACCAGAAGAGTGTGCTATATAAGCATCAGGAAATGGTGAATGAAGCCAGTCGCCTCGTTCTGCAACATTTTTGTAGAACTAACGAATTTTGCCAATATGAATAATTACGTTGTTCGAAATAAACTATAAACAATGAACAAAAATACACACTGCAGCGGCCAAAGGACATGATTTTTGTTCACTCGCAAGCCCTTTCGAATTCGAATATATTTCAGCTAAATAATAATACGCTAAGAGATGGTGGGCTGAACTTGCGGCTGTTGTAAAACATTCGAAGGCTCTTTTAATATCATTGTTTTCTGTATACGAAGATAGAATAACTGATAAGAATAAAATATTAATTTATAATAATTATAATAAAATAATTCCAGCATACGTAGATACATTAGACCCAAATTGACTTGTGCGTCAGGATATTCTTCGGCCGCTAATTTAAAGTATTCCATGGCTCGCTCATGGTTCTATAAAGAAGAATATGAATTAATAATGATTTCATTTAAAACAGCGCAAACAATGCAATGCATTCAATTACCTTCTCAACCAAAACTTTGTCATAGTGTTTCAAACCTTCTAAATTCATCAGACCAAGGCCATTATAAGACGCAGGATTCTTCTATAATTATAAATAAAAAACAATTTTTTTAAGATAAATACATAATCAAACAAAGAAAATTATCAGTAATTGGATAAAAATGAGAACACAACGGGCCTTTTTCGCACCCCTTATAAACCACTCAAGAGCCGTTTGATTATTTTGAACAACACCTTCTCCACGCCAATACATTTGACCTAAGATTTGAATAGTTACAAGTAATTAAATTAGATGAAATAAATACCACCTAAAGTCACTAATAAAACAACAAACCTAAAATCCCTGCGGCTTGTCCTGCAGCATGAGCAAGTTTTGGATTAGCCGATAAAGGCTCAGACAAAGAAGTAACAGGGGACCAATATTGGTCAGTAACTTGTTTGAGGTATTGTAGAGCAAGTTTAAAGTTTTGAGGTATATTTTCTAAATGATAAAAATAACGTTAATATTCCATTGCACGTTGTATAAATAATGCTTATTTTGAAAAGAAAAAATAAAATTCTAATAATTACTTGTCCCCTGATAATAAAGTTGACCTAAACCTAGCTATAATATAAATAATAAATGGATCAGTGTCTATGAAAATATGCCAAAATTTATCTTATTTTATATTTGACTAACATACCTGAGATGCAATATCACCTTGTTTAGCCGAATAATGATAATATTCCAAAATATCGTCCCATGCGGCTTGGTCTCCAGGTTTCGTTGACGAACCGGAACCTGACCCACTGGCCCCATATCCGTACACACCGCCATCCTCATCATATAATTTTATTTTAGCTGGGGGAAGCTGTCGGCCGCCAGGTGGACCAGATTTATAATATTCAATAGCTAAATTCAATTAAACCAATATGTATTAGAAAATCAATATATACTTAGTTTTAAAGGAATACTCAACATTCAACACCTACCTTTATCCGCTACACGTTTGTAGTAAAACACAGCATCCTCACAACTTCGTGGAACACCGATACCAGTGAAATATCGATACGCAAGCGTCATTTCAGCTGCAGTCTCATGACCAAGAGCTGCGAAAGTATGGTATAATAATGCCTTAGAGGATTTAATTGTAGATATGAACTATTAAACACTGAATGGTAGCAAATAATAAGAACAACACCACACAGACCGTCCTACCTTTCCTTGATCGCGCTGTACTACGTCACCTATGCCAGTCGCGTACATGAAGCCGACCATATGTTGTGCGGTCGCATTTCCTGATCGACTTGCTAACTCTCGATAATAATGAAAAGCCGCAGTCAAGTTACGTGGATGAGTATATTTTGCGAACTAAGATACACGTATTTATTTTTCAGAAATTTGATAAATATTAGCATTACTATACACTTAATAAATATCTTACAAAATTCATTTCTCCAAGAGTATACAATGCGCCATCGTGTCCAAATTCGAAAGCCGCTTTCTCCAGTAATTCTACAGCTCTATTTAATCTTGGGTTTTTTATTTCTGTGCTATGTTTTTTTCCTATATCCAGATGTTCAGCAAATGGCGAGCGTAATCCGAATATGGAGAACAAAATTTGTGCAAAAACTTTATATATAATAAGAAGAATGTTGGGATCTGTGTCATCGAGTTCGCTATTTGTTGAAATCCGTTTTTTTGACGAAGGCTTCAATTTCCCTAGCTGCAATAAAGCTTGGTCATATAATTCGTTGCCTACATATGGAATATGGGTCAGAATTAGTAAAATTCTTGCGAAAGAATAATTTGTAACATTATGGATCAGGTTGTTTAGTTTACCTTCTAGCTTTAATAAGCCATCGCTGCTTTTTGTATCTGACACTGATTGAGTAGGTGTCGTTGTGCTTTGTGACAATTCTTCTCCAGAAACTGACGTGACTCGAGAGAACGCAGTAAGGAAGAACCCACAAATAACGCAAGCTGTAATATTTGAATCAAAAGGTCATTAGCAGTAATTCTCACCTGATGCTTATATGACAGAATTATGCTTACATAGGAATATTAGTAAAAGTCTTTGTTTGCACAACATTTTTTCAGGTGCAATACCGAAAGCGATCCTCAAAACGCATCGCCTTTGTAAAAAATGTTTTTATTTCGTACGTGAAGTATTTTGCCTTTTTATATTTCATTTATCATAAATTTGGTCAATTCCATATATAGCTGCCACGTTACGTATATATTTATCAGATACATTTTGACAAATAGCAAATTGCCAGATTATATCGATTTTACATATAAACATATCACTGTGTGATGATAAAGAAAAGTTGATCGACAGATTTTATAGAATTAGATACGCATTAAATTTTTTATTGATGGTCGCTACATAAATATGTGTGTAAACCTTTGATCTAATTTATTTGAAAATTTATTAATTCCAAGAATGTCATCACAAAAAATAATTAAGATCGAGGTTTTTCCTTTTTTTCTTTGTATCTATTAAGTTATAAGTTATAATTAGAAATAGTTAATTATCGTTCAGACAATAATAAAACTTAAATAAATAATACTTACAAAGCAAGGAGAGACACGCCGGAGACTTTGACTACTTTGAAACGGACACCGGGAATATCACCAATCTAATAAAAAAAAATGAATAAATATCTTTATTGAATTATTCAAACAATTAATCATACTCACAGCACGCCCTTTACGTCCAAAACCAGCAAGTAGAACTTCATCGTTTTCTTCTACATAATTTAAGCAACCATCATTCGGAACGAAAGCAGTGACTTTTTTCCCATTTTTAATTAGCTGAACACGAACACATTTACGAATAGCGGAATTTGGTTGCTTGGCTTCCACGCCACTAAATTGTATAAAATAATTAATTTACGCCATTATCAAATATTATTTATCCTATTTTCGAAATGGTTGAGAATAACAAGATTTACAAAAAAAAATTTTTTATGTGAAAACCTGAAAACCCGATTAGTTTAAAACATTGAAAAAATTATGCGAGTGCATATGTAAATCGGAATTGATTATTGATCAGTGTTCTAAACTAATCGGGGTTTCGGGTTTTCGCATAAAAAATTTTTTTTTATAAATCCCGCTATTCTCAACTATTTCGAAAACAGCGATAAAAAAAGTATTGTTGCCGATATAATAAATATTATACATTTTTTCAAGTACAATGCCCTTAGCGTGAGAGGAACCACCAAATGGTGATGATTTATAAGCTGTACCTAATGCCCTCTTCTTATATAGTTTATCAGCCCATCGTTCCTCTCGGCGATGTGTACGTAGTTTGCGTGCACTTTGTAAACCTCTAGGTTTTCCTTTACCTAAGAAATCGCGGACGAATTAGCAAATTTATGCTGAAATCTATTGCTGCATCCATATTTTTCAAAAAATCTAAACTATAATGCTATTCTATTGAATTAAGGATTTGAAAATTCCAACTGAAAAGAACATATATTTTTGTTCCCTAATTAAAGAACATAAAATTGACAAAAATTGACAATTTCTATGGCTAACTTACCCATTATTACCCAAGCGGTCAGAAGAGGATGGAATAGAAGGAAGATCAATTTTTTTTTTCATATTCATTTTTATACTTATAAATCCGCGGATTTATCACTTGTTTTACCACATGACATCTTTATATTTTTTATTGCATCGCAATTGGTGTAAGTCGATCGAAATTGACTCTTAATAAAAATAGATTGATCGCGTTCCAGTTATGTTATAGTAATAGATCTAAAACGAGTTCTGTGGATTCAGAATTCTCATAACTTGCATCTTGAGTTTCTTCGGTCGAGGCCAAGGATCACTTTCTAAATTGATGTTTTATTACCTAGTCGACTTAGTCGATCGACAATTTAACCTCGAAACCACATAAAGTATCAATTTTAATACCGATACGTATTAAAAAAGTTTTGGTTAATATCGATATTAATAAAATTATTTTCGATCTGATAAAACTTTAGACAATTATTTTGCCAATTAAATCGACTTTCGTCGACTGGCCGCACTAAAACAACGTAGGTAGGTCGACGATCATAGATAAATATCACGTGATAGATTTCAGAAAACAGATACCGATACGTCGTGGTTTGCGCGATTATCTTAGTTTATTACTGCTCTCTTTTCAAACAATGCAATACAGTCCTGGAATAGAACCAGATTTGGATCAAGATTATTTTTCACAACATGCATACACTTCAGTAAGTATTGTATTGGAATTTTGAGCCGCGGCTTAAAATACTAATCTTTCGCTTACAGAACTCTTTTAATCAGTTAACTTTGGAAGAAACGAGTAACTATCGTTCTCTTACTCCAAATACGTTACCGGAAGCGAGTAATTTTCAACCTTTTTCTCCGAGAACTCCAGCCGAAACACTCAACTATCGTTATTACGCTCGAAGTACGCCTGATACTTCGGATCTAATAAGATCTTTACAAAAGCCGGGTATGTTCTTTTCATTCTTTGCATTGTTGGAGCAACTCTACATAATATTATAATAAAAGATAGAATTGGGGTTTCTGAAATTGTATTACAAACCTTTTGTTCTAATTTCATACTTTTAGATGCTATTTTTGAGCCAAACGTTGTAGATACAGTATCATGTCTAGTCAGCGATTCGGTAGAAAATATTGGACAAATCTTTGGTTCTCTCTGCCACAGTTATACTGGCGAGCCTTCAAAGATTCAACTGTTAAGTGATCTTTTTGATGAATTTGGGAGCTCAGATACACAGCCTAAAGCCGACTCAGTGTGCAAAGATGCGTTGATGAATATACTTTTAGAAAAATATGATACTGTAAAAATTGATCAAGTAGTAAAAGACAATGTAAGTTATCATTATTTGTAGATGATAGCTTCTCGCAAAGATAATAATAAATAAATTGTAGGGATCATTCTATTGCAATTATTAGATTCAAGCCTTAAACCTCGTAATACCACTAATTCAATCTTCATATTGGCGACGAGCTATATACGACTTATCAGAAAAGCATCCAGAAGGCTTGTTTTTAAACATTTTAATTCGGGTAATAGTTTTTTTTCAATATAATTATTACATTTGATTTTATCAGATATTTATTGGGACTATCACAACTATCATAATATTGCAGAAAATTGCTGATGCAAATTATATTAACGAAATAAAACACCTTAAATCAGCGTCAACAAATATTGATGTGTTTTCTAAAGTTTTATTAGATCAATTTGATAACCTAATAACAGCAGATGAGGCTGGAGTATCACAAAGCATGCCGGATTTAATCGTCAGTACCAATCTCTTCAAATTATATATTGCTTTTTGTAATTTGTTAGTCTAATTCGAAATTTACGTGTATTCATGTGCATATATTAGAAAACCGCTGTTCAGCATCCACATTCATACCTTTTTGTTCAAGCATTGATTAAGCACTTATCTCAAGAACGAAATGGTTATCCATTAAGGAAATTAGCAAAAGAATTAGAAAAAGGTGTTTCTAATAACAAGTATTTAGGGTTTAATCTTATTGTATTTTTGTTCTCCGACATCAAATGTATACAAACATATATATTCAATTTTTCAGTATGGAACTTGTTGATAACTTAAGAAATTTGATAGCGGCGCCACCACAACCAATTGCACAGTCTATTTTACGTATTCCACCGACGCCTGGAGATATAGTAAATGTAAGTGCTATATATCAATGAATATTTGCCGAAGTCGTATTTTGTTGTTTTTTACTTATTAACATTATTAACATCATTTTTCAGTTACACAAACAATATTCACAAGAACCGTTACCTTCACCCATATATTTAAGAGATCCACAGTTACTTTGTAAGAACGAAAGATCATGTCGAATATTCATATTATAAATGTTTCATCACTTTTTCTGCAGTTTAACGGTTTTATTGCATTATTTCGATTTCAGACTGGCTCTTAAATAATGCATTTGTACCATCGGAGAAAACCTTAAACTTGAAGCAGGATCTTAAGGAAAAGTATCTATATCTTGCAGCTTATGCTGCCTCTGCAGAAGAACGAGATGATGGAACAGTGAGTATTGTTTTCTTGCGATATAATAAAGTCATTTTATTCAATATAATTAAATCTTTATTCTGGTGTTGTTATTTAACATGCAATTCCCTATCCAATAGATAGATGACTCTAGAGTTAACACGACATTTGAAACACTCAAGAAGCTCCAAGCCACTTTATCAAGAAAAGGTGTTATAGGTCTTGAATTTAATGCTATTGTAAAAGACCTTTTGGTATATATTGAGTAAGGAACTTTATTTAAAAGTTTGTTCACTATTTCGTTTTTGATTTAAAAATGTTGGTTCTAACAATGATATATAATGAATCTGACGTTTTTAGAACGCCAATAGCATCAATGGCAACGATTTTCTGGATAAAATACATTTTACGGGAAACTGCTTATTACGAGAAACATTTCAAAACTAATGAAGTGCCGTTACCGCATTACGTATTGGAAGAGGTTGGTTATCATCGTGTACATAAAACGACTTATATGCGATTGTTATATTTGAACACTATTTTATTAATTATTGGATAGATTGCCTTTCGACATCAATATCAACGGTTTCACGTCTTTAATGCATACAAAGCGGAATTAGAGTCATCTACTAGGTTCACCCCGGAAGTAATGGTCTGTTATAATTTTTTAAAATACATGCATCAGTTTGCACAAACTAACGTGATTTTTAACAGGCGGCGCTTCGGAGACAGTTAATGGAACGTATGGCTTACCTCGTTCAAATTGGATTTGTAATGCAAGTAATGACGTATATAGAGAAAACTCTTGGCAGATTAGACGAAAAGCTGGTTACTATTTTTGTCAAGAGGGCAAGTATAGTCACGAAGAGAATAAATGTTATTGAAAGAGTTAAATTATTTATTTATAAAAAGCGATCCTTAAATGTTTCAATATGATTCTTTATAGGTAATCACTGCATGTGGACCACCTTATTCCGAAGAATTTTATATTTCAATGTTGAAATTAATTGAATTTGCAAGGGTTCAATTAGACTCTCAACTCGATACACGACCAATGATTGTGCAATTTTTTGGTAAATTTACTCTACTATTATCACACTTCGTAATTATCTAAGATCTTAACGTCACCTTTCTTATTCGCATACTTATAGCTGACCGTCCACCAACAATTGATAACAAATATAATGAACTTATAAATAATTTGGTGATTACTTTTAGTAGCTAACCTTAGTATTACAATTATCGTCTAATTATGATGACTTACGACACAACGCATTGCAACATAAGCTAATGAGATCTGGAAAAAAATATTTCACTACATATTTTAATGCAGCTTAATTTTTTTTTTTTTTGCTTGCCGTAAAAATTAATCGGCGAATATAATTGAATGTTTAGCGTATAAAAACATACCTACCTGTTTGAGTTACAAAATAATTTGTTAACTAAAAGATTTAAGAAAATTGATATAACCCCAAGTAAAATGTTTAGTTTTTATATAGTACAGCATTTGTACATAATAAATTTCTCGAAAAGAGATCAGTTATAATACCTAAACCTATTTAGATTAAAATAAGCCATTGATAAGGTTCCGCTCATATCCGATATATAATGCCGATCCCCATTAATTCAATACGTACAATACTTTTTCTTTTGTCCCGAAACGATCCTAATTTAATCTTGCGGTTAATGCATCATCCGAGCCAGAACAGAAACAGGATGAATACTTTATTCAGGTTATTGCATACACAAACGGGTAATGATTTTAGAAGGCAGCCCAAAATATTCTATCTATATAAAAGTTAGAATCATGATGATTTTTAATCCGTAATTTAGATGAAGACAATACTACAAAATTATGCATAAAAATAATAATAATTGAATGTTATGAATATTCGGGATCGGTCATCGATCAAGAATTACAATAGACTAAAAAATTTTTTTTCGTGAAATAATGAAATAATTTTGAGAGCTTAAAAAAACTTTGGACTGCCTTTGAAAATAATTATCCAATATATACAAAATTTATTAGACAAAAATTATCTACAATTCAGCAATCATCAAATGTTATCAAATAATTCCAGGATTTGAGGATGTTTTAACACTTTGAGAAAATGTATCGACAATATTGTGATCGCCGCCATTTCTTTGCCGAAATCTTTCACTTTAATGTGAAAATTTGCAGTCATCTCCATAGCGACAATAGCCTTTAACAAAAAAGCGGCAAGGAGTAGCACTGCGAGGGTGAGACAAAACTCCAAATTTCGGTGCTGAAACTGGCGCATTGGTTTGGTGAGAATATCTACATCCTTCATTGTAACGACAAATGCCACGTTGGAAAAAACGGCAAAGATATTTTTCATCATTTGGTTCAATGTCATCCACTTGCTCATGGTTATTATTGGTTACACCATCGCTAATACCATTATTGAAATTGATGGATTCTGCTTCAGTTTCTTCTCGAAATAATTCACCTTCTTCATGTTCTTTAACTTGTGGTGTTTCGTCACGGAATGGTTTTTGCATCATGAAAAATGTTAATTTATATTTTTTTCATATAAAGGCGAGGCAGTTTCGAAAAAGATGCCTTAC